ATTGTCGTTTTGCTCTTTCTTTTTGGTATGAACAAAGGGAAGGTTTGGGGAAGAAGCTTGTGCTAGAGATAGAGAAAAATCTGTTACAAGAGGAGAGGAGAGACTGGGATTGATTAGCAGCCTCTGACACCTACAACACGGTAGTGCCTCATCTTTCCTTGAGCTTCCTGAGCCCTTGTGTGAATTCTGAATTTTCGGGTGTAGGAGCTCACGTTTCCTGAAGAGAGGCATTAGCCACGAGCAAGGGAGGCAAGTACTGAGTGTCCCAAAGTTCATTTGGGAATGCTGCTGGCTCTCATTTGGGAATGAGAAACTTGGGAACTTTTCTCTAGGGTTACTCTTCCAGATAGTGTTTGGGTTTTCAGGGTTTTTGGTTTTTTGAAAATGAAAAAGTAAAGAGGCCTCTTGTTTCTCTGTGCCACATCTCTATGCAGGTGTAAGTGTTTCAGTGGTTGTTATTGTCTTTCCTCTCCCTTTGCATCTTCAGATCTGAAGCTCTCAAGGGAAGGCTGCCCTAGGTAGTGAGGTGGTTGTCACAGTTTAAGGGAAAAAATGCAATTATTGTGTGAAACAGGAAAACCTTGAGAGTTTTGTGCTACAGAGAAGGGAGCCAGCCTTGTCATTGTGCTGCTGCTAATAACGAGCTGGTTGAGCTGCAGGCTTTAACAGAATAAAAGCTTGGGTTGGAGCAGGGATTTCGTAGAAGCTACTATTACTCGTTAGTGATGAGTAATTTCCAAAGCTGGGCCTTTCCCCTGCAGAGACACGGGGTCACTCTTGGCATTACGGAGCCCACCTGTGCTACCCTGCTGTGACCATAGCCCATGTTAGTGCCATTGTGTATTCGCAGTTGTCAGCTGTGACTGGAAATTGGAAAGGACGTTTTCAGGACGTGCTTTAGACGCTGAGGTGCGGGACTGAGTCGCTGGTCTGTGCGCGGAGCGAGGCCGGCGCTGCCGCCGAACAGGGACCGAGCGGGTGCCGCAGGGAGCTCCGACCGCCACAGCGAAGCCAGGGTGAAACCTTAATGCCAAGTATCAGACAAGTGCTCTGTGTGTGTGTGTGTTACTAAACCTTGATTGCTACCCGTGTTTGAGCTGTAAGCAAATAAAAACACAGCAACGGCTGCAGTTTGTAACTGGTCGTTAGAGTCCTCATCCATCAAAACACCTAAGGGTGCCCATAATGGGGCTGTCTGCATAATTACTGCTACGAGCTGCTCCTGAGCATGGCAGGAGGCCTTCAAGCACAGGTGGAAATGCCTGCTCATCAAGTGTGATGCTTTAAATGGGCTATGAATAAAAACCGGAATGCTTTGGAATTTGCCTCCAACCTCTTGACAGTTTTCTTGGGCCTTTGTTTTTTCCCCTGCTTGCGAAAGTGGCCGGGACCATCGGCAGGTTTTTCCCTGCTGCTTGACGTTATTTGTGAGGTGCTATCCCGGGTGGAGAGCTCATTCCCCAGGAGCAGAGGCCTGGGGACTTTGGAGTCCAAACTGGTTTTCTCCACCCTTCCCTTAAACCATTTGGTCCATGAATGCTTCCAGCAGTTATTATTTATTTGTGATAGTATTCTGATGTTTGCTTTTCTCAATGCTGTGGCAAAACTCTTGTATTTGATCAAGAAGAGGTGGAAAATACTGGGTATACACTCAATGAATTTGAGGGCAAAATCGAGTACATGCTGTAATGGTCTTGCCTTAGGATTTTTTTTGTTCTGTTAGTAATATTTTAATAATAATGAATACTCAAAAATGTGTTCTTCGTGTGTTCTGCAGTTCTTCATACTGCAGAAGGGTGCATGAGCTTATTTGAAATGGTGTGTGTCCTTAAGGGCTAAGCACGTGCTCTTTCTTTTTTGTATTTTTCTCTTATTTAATGTTTCAATCGGAAATTTGTTCTCAGCTCAGCCAGCATCAACCATCGACCTCATCTGCTTGGGCTAGTGCCTAAACGGGAGTGGTGGCTGTTTGGGAACGTTTCCCGGAGTGCCTGAAAGGCCCCCGAGCTGGGGAGGGTGGTTTTGTTGGCAGCTCCTTGGTGGGGGTGTCTGTATTGGAGCGGTCCCTCTTGGAGCTCTCCCTGGAGCTCCCCCCTCCTGACTGCCATGGGCTCCTCTGCGTTGGATAACGAGCGAAATATCCTTGATCTTAACAAATGCAGTGCAGGGCAGCTCCTGAACTCTGCCCTACTTGATTGACAGTGACTCTCAGCTATTTCATAGAATCACAGGATGGTGAAGGTTGGAAGGGACCTCTCGAGGTCATCCAGTCCAACCCCTGCACACGCAGGGTCACCTAGAGCACGTGGCACAGGGCTGCGTCCAAGCGGGTTTGAAGATCTCCAGAGAAGGAGACTCCACAACCTCTCTGGGCAGCCTGTTCCAGGCTCTGGCACCTTCACTGTCAAGACATTTTTCCTTAAGTTCTGTGGAACTTTTGGTGTTTCAGTTTCTGGCCTTTTCCTCTAGTCCTGTCAGTGGCCACCACTGAAAAGAGGC